GGGGAACGGGGCCGGCACCGGGCACCGGGAGGTGGCGCCGGGCACTGGGAGCCGGTGTTCAGCACTGGGAGCCGGTGCTGGGAGCTGGCACAGGGCGCTGGGAGCTGGTATTGGGCACTGGGAACGGGTATGGAGCACTGGGAGCTGGCACTGGGATCTGGTACCGGGCACTGGGAGGCGACAGTGGGCACTGGGAGCTGTTGTTCAGCACTGGGAGCTGGGACTGGGAGCTGGGACAGGGCACTGGGATCTGGTACCGGGCACTGGGAGGCGACAGTGGGCACTGGGAGCTGTTGTTCAGCACTGGGAGCTGTTGTTCAGCACTGGGAGCTGGCACGGGGCACTGGGAACTGGTGTGGAGTACTGGGAGCTGGCACTGGGATCTGGTACCGTGCACTGGGAAGTGACACTGGGCACTGGGAGCTGGCACGGGGCGCTGGGAGCTGGCACTGGGCACTGGGAACTGGTATGGGACAGTGGGCACTGGGAGCTGTTGTTCAGCACTGGGAGCTGTTGTTCAGCACTGGGAGCTGGCACGGGGCACTGGGAACTGGTGTGGAGTACTGGGAGCTGGCACTGGGATCTGGTACCGTGCACTGGGAAGTGACACTGGGCACTGGGAGCTGGCACGGGGCGCTGGGAGCTGGCACTGGGCACTGGGAACTGGTATGGCTGGTATGGAGCACTGGGAGCTGGTGCTGTACACTGGGAGGTGACACTGGGCACTGGGAGGTGACACTGGGCACAGAGAGCTGTTGCTCAGCACTGGGAGCTGGCACGGGGCACTGGGAATTGGTGTAGAGCACTGGGAGCTGGCATTGGGAGTTGTGCCCTGCACTGGGAGGTGACAGTGGGAGCTGGTGTTCAGCACTGGGAGCTGGCACAGGGAGCTGGTACCGTGCACTGGGAGCTGGCACTGAGTACTGGAATCTGGCACTAGGAGCTGGCACTGGGCACTGGGAGCTGGTACTGAGTACTGGGAGCTGGTATGGAGCACTGGGAGGTGATATTGGGTACTGGGATCTGGCGCTGGGCACTGGGATCTGGCACAGGGCACTGAGAGCTGGTACTGGGCACTGGGAACTGGTATGGAGCACTGGGAGCTGGTACCATGCACTGGGAGGTGATAGTGGGCACGGGGAGCTGGTGTTCAGTACTGGGAGCTGGCACGGGGCACTGGGAGTTGATGGTGGGCACTGGGGGCTGGTGCTGCGCATTGGGAGCTGGCCCTGGGAGCTGACACCGAGCACTGGCACTGGGCGCTGGCACTGGGCGCTGGCACTGGGAGCTGGCACTGGACACTGGTACCAGGCCCTGGGAGCTGGTGTTTGGCACTGGTACCGGTCCCCGGAAGCCGGCACCGGTCCCCGGCCGCGTTCTCCGCGGTTTGACCCTCCCGCGCCGCCGTCGCCCCCCGCGCGGCGCCTGCTGGGCGCT